GGGCGGTGCGGGCGACGGCGTATTTATTAAACAACGTTTTCTTACGAAGGTGTCCTAGGTAGGAGAGTCGCGCGACTGAAGCGGCGTCGGAGACGATTGAAATATTTGATTTTAGTCGCGCGAGCCGAGCGAGCGTATTTGTATATAGTATACAACGCAAAAATACGTCATAAAAATGTCTGAGAATTATACAGAGTGTTTAATAAGTTCATTAAAAAATTGCCCAATTATTTAGGATATGACCCATAAGTATTATCACAATCGATTGCTTGCTAATAAGAAATGGACACGAATCGCCGGAGACTTGAGAGAAACAATTGAACGAGAAATGCTAGACCTTGAGAAGAAAAAGGTTGACCTTTTGTACAAGGACGATAATGATGATGAGGACATAAACTTCTTCAAGTCTTTATTACTCCATGCCAAACTCCTGCCTTCAATAAAGAAACTGGTCTTAAATTCGTAGCGCTGTTCAAGATCTATTATTAAACAAAATCCTTAAAATTAAGAACCATCAACAATTTTCACAGCCGGATGCACAAAGGGACATCCCCGCGTACCGTCTCCGTATGCCTCTCCAACAGGATCACATGGCAGACTTCATCATCAGACACAAGTCAGCATACTAGCATTACTCAGCAACAACTCGAGAATCCAGATTTCTTACGTATTTAAATTAAGTTATTGTATGTTCTTGAAATATGAATAAAAAAATAGAATATATTATTTATTTATTACTTCTTACCTAATCATTAACAGTAAGCGCTCCTCCACTGATATAGGACACTCAAAGTTGGTCAAAGAGTGTCTAATTTCCGGAATAACTGCATTTAAAATATAATAAAATGTGTTAGTTGACATCTTTGTGTACTAATAAAATAGACATTCGTTTCCTGGGCTTTTTAACATATTAAATAAATTATGGAATTCTCCCATGCTTGCCCTTTCCAGATATATATTATTTGTCGGCCTTCTCTTACGCCTTTTTCGAATTAACGATGTTTTTAAATATATATTATCCAACATTGCAACTTTACGATTACTATGCGACATGTTGTCTTTTAATATTGAACTGAAATTTTTCTAACATCTTCTTCCGTACGGATCGCTCTCGAGAGTCGCCTATACACAGGACAACATATACCATCGCGCGCGTCGCGCTCCTCGCCCTATGTTGTCGCACGCGTCGCTCGGTCGCTTTTGTCTCCCACATAGGACGAAGCCTTACTTGTATTTTTTTCCTACGCTTAACACAATGCCATCCTAAATCAATACAAATTTTTTGATTATCTATTTTCAAATTGGATTTTAAAAAAATCATGAAATATCATTTTGTAGTTTAAGCGTTTTCTTGTCGCCTAATTACTTAGAATTCATATCATGTAGAGTTTGTCTGCTCCTACTTGCTCTTTACTTTTTTATAAACGGTTTTATCTATTTTTTTTTTGTTAAATTTAGTAATTCAATTTTCATCAACTTGTTGTCGACCGACTGATACAAAATTTGGTACACACCTTTAGTTTTGATGACAATTCAATTAGTTAGGTGCCTATATATTCATATGTATTCAGTATGTTCAAAATGGCCACCACCACAAAATGGCGTACTACATATTATTTTCAAACCCCATTATCCAGTAAAATTGTATGGCCGTATAGAGCATGAAAATAAAAATAATCCGGACAACCTGATTTTTTCAGGGTTTGTCAGCGACTGTCTTCTGAGTGTAAAATTAGAAAAATCGGAAAATCACTTTTTAGTGCGAAGCGAAATAAACGAGTTAAAGGGGGGTTCAATTATGATGAATCACCCTGTACGTGGATTTTTTTGTCTTATTTATTTTTTTCTTAGAAAAGGGTCTTGTTTTATAACTTTAAAAATAAGATAATCTTTAAATTATTTTTTTCAAAAATGATCTGGTGATCAAGATTTACCTAAATTACTAGTTTAAAAACTTACAATAGGGCATTTTGAGTTAGTTTAGAATATTATATATTGTCTGAAAATATATCCTTTATGATTTTATATTAGATATTACATTTTATTTTATTTATTTTCAAAATTATGGAAATAAAAAATATCCAAAATTTTCTGACCTTAATTTTGACCTCAAATTCTTGATCTACAACCTCAAAAACCTTTGGGTACTAAATTTCAACAAAATCGGATACATAGTAATAGCGCTGTGATTTTTGTCCCGTCATCCTATATAATTTATGCACTGTGCATCGGTTCAAAACGTCGAAAGCGTCATCATGTAGCCGGTCCCCAAATATGCCGAAATCGACCCACATTTTTCTTCAATATCAAATCGTTAGTCCACCCTGATGAAGACGTAAACGAAAGGTCGCGCGTTGTATCAAACTTTGCAGGGTAAAACCGTGTGCACCGTCGCTCGCATAGCCTACCCACCATATACCAACTGTGATACCAACAAAGTTTTGGTCCCGATCGGACGACATCAATTCTTGGCGTTTCTTACGTCAAAATTTAACTGTCACAATGACAGGTATCGTACACGGTCAAGATGGCCTTGACATGATATAAAAGATTACATGATTATTAAATTGCGAACAGATTCCGAGTTTCAACCCTCTTGCCTAATAGGGTTTCAGTTACCTGACGCTCCAAAGACCCATTAAATCGGACGATTTTTTCGCCATTGATGATGGATGGACGCATATTGCATGAAACGTCGTCAAAATATGAAAATATCATGAAAAGATACGGCTCTTTGAGCTCCATCTACATTCCGAGTTTCGGCCCCTAGCTCACATAGGGCCCGAGTTACGACGCTCCGTCTTAATCTCCGATCGTTACCACTTTTCCTGACGCGTCTCGTCTAGAGATAAATTATCATATCAAATAATATGATATTATCATATCATATTATCTCTAAAAGTATCAGGCCTTCAATTTTTACTCCCATCGCGTGTAAAGAAGTTTCACTTCTAAAAGATAATACCCTTTGAAACCTACACCGTTATAGTACTATAATATATCGTACTATATGTATAATATTATCATATTATGATAATAAAACGTATATTAAGCCGAGGATACATGATACACGTCACAAATATTAGCATTCTTTCTCATTGTAGCCATTCGCACCATTTTGCTGTCAGCTCACACGTTGGACGACCAATTATTCGCGGCTTGCACTTTTCTTTAGCCGAGAACTACTGGCGAATGGTTCCCATTCGTTCGCATTGTAGCCATTCGCACCATTGCTACCCGCTCGCACCAATAAAGTAGCATGACAACGGTGACACATTTGAACGAATCCTTTTCAATCGCTTTAAGACCGGTTTACACGCTACGCAAAATCGTGGCATCGTCTGGAAACATTGAACTATATAACTAACGTAGTTCATTGTCTGGAAACGTTGGTCTGCGTCTAGGGCGTCGGGTATCCTTTATGACGTCATCAACCTCCACTTGATGACGTCACGATCTTTTTACGTCAAAGCTGGCATCTTCTGGCGTCTGGCCTTGTTATTTCGTATGGTGCTGCTGTGTGGTGCCGGCTAAAGCCATTCAAAAGGTGCTTTGAAAATGTTTTCATAGAAACACAAAATTCTCCATAGCAAGAAAGTTTAGTGAGCGATTTTTACTATTATTTTTTTGATAAAAATTATATAAGCTCTAGACTCCACACACCGACTTAGTTTTCCTAGTTTTGCTCCATCTCCTCTCCAAAGGGGAATGTGTCTTTAAATGTCCAATTTGGTCCACCCTGTACAATGATAAAAAACAACTGTGTATGAATAAAATCTTAAGGCTGCCATTCACTAAACGATAAACGAGCAAACCGATCGAGCGACCTAGTCGCTTTCAATCAAATTGTCGAAAGATCTCCATGTTAGTGCGTCATTTCAATCAAATTGAAAGCGATATTGTGGTTACCAAGAAATCTTTTGATTTACAGTGCGGAAGGTGAATCGGGTTGCAATTGCCAGCAATTTAAAGAGGTTGTACGAGGATCGCCCAATCAGTGGACGTCGGCAACCGGGTTGCTCAACTACTTTTATTATTTAGTACGTGAACAGGAAAGTGTCGGTCCGTCGCGGACGGTCCGGTCCATCTAAAATCTGAAAGCGATGTAAATCATCCGGACGGAGCATACGCGACCCATATGAAATTGTTCATATAAACTCATGGTACTTGATCGAAGTCGCGGACGGTCCGCTCCATCTGAAAGCGCTGTACCTCTACTAAAAAACAGCATCTGAAATTAACCAAACTTCCAAGAAATTTAAAAGCAATTTGGTTGCTAGGAAATCGCCCACTGAATGGGGGCCTGTAGGAAAAAGTACTATTTACTATTTCAGCTATTGCAGAATATTGCTATTATTTATATTTTACTAGTTTAAGCCTGGCGCATTTGCCACGACATCAGGAAAAAAATACCTTTTTTTTAATTAAATGAAAAACAAAAAATCCGGCGACGACAGTTTTTAGAAGAGCCAATTAGCTATTTTTTAGTAAAAAAGGCAACTTTCTAAAGCAAGTCGTTACTTCAGTAGAGACGACACAGATAAACATTAGCATTTTATAGGTATACTAGTTGAAGCCTGGCGCATCCGCCACGACATCATGAAAAAAAAATACTTTTTATTTTTTATTTTTAATTAAATGAAAAACAAAAAATCCCGCGACGATTTTCTAGAGCAAGTCGTTACTTCGGTAGAGACGACACAGATAATCATAAGCATTTTATATAATATGTAGATTATTTTGATATTATGGATATTATCAAAGGATATTATCATTATTATGTAGAAGATAGGGATTCTTGATCCAACTTTAAATTAATTTTGTACCATCTATCTCTATCACTTTGTACTTTCTTACTCTGTAAAAAGTACACTATAATTTTGTGAATCACAAATTAATTTTCCAATTGATAGATGGCAGTATAAAATATTCATGCTCTCTCCCATAGATTATAATTCTCTTGCTACAGGTGACATTGCGTCTTGCGTCATACGTCAATGCGTGCGTCGTAGTTGCAAAATGTCAAAGAATCATGTCAAAAAATTGTCAAAAAGTCAATAAGTATCAGATCTGTGTATCAGATTATATCAGTATTTATATTAGTTTAAACCGTTATTTTGTATTCTTTTCCAAGTGTTTCTCGTATTTAGTTCCTGTTTAAAACTGATACTATAAAATCCAACTTGATTTATACATGATCAATTCCATATAAAGGATAACAGGTACAGTTGCATAGGTACAGTTGTTAAGTGAAGGTTTATGAATGTGACTCATGTTTACTAATCTGACATTTGTAGTTAACAACGAACATACTCTTTCGCGATAAAAACATCTCTCCCTGAAAATAAGATCAGTTTGTTGATTCTCGCTACAAATTTTTTAATTTTAGAAACATTCAATGGTAGTGTAGAATACTGTTATGACAGTTTCATTGTAAGACTCAAGACAGCTGATAAAATGAGTACAATTATTGAGCCTCCAAAGTTCGGAAGCAAAGACGAAGAAATTGATTATTGGAGAAATCTAGCTCATGAATATATGCAAGAGTAGGGACAGATTGTACAGATTTGTTGTATACTTAATATGTTTTTATTTTTGTTTAGAATTGATAGAGTTCAGAAAGATGCAGACGAATTTATGGTCGAGTCAAAACAGCTTGAGAAAGAATATGAAATGACAATAGATCAGAATGAAAAGAAAATTAAAGAACTGAGTATATCAAACAATCGAACACAAAATGAAATTGATGCTTTAAGGGTTAGTTTATAAAGTTTATAATTTTTTTTTTAATTTTTCAAACATATTATAGGTTAAGCTTGAAATATGTTATAAAGAAACAACTAATCAACAAACTGAAATAGAATCACTAAAGGCAGAAAAGAAACAGCTGTTAACAAAAATTCGAGATTTAGAACAATTAAATGATGATTTGGAAAGATCTAGGAGAATAGTTGAAGAAAGTATTGCTGGTTTCGAACAGGCACTTAATTCAGCCCTAGAAAAAAATGCTATTTTAGAAAGTGAAGTTGATGAAAAAGAAAACTTGAAAGAAAAATTACAAAGACTTGCTGATGAAACAAGAGGTAAATTACATTATAAGCCATGTTTTCTTATTCATTTTTTTTAATATTTGTGTATATTTCACTTATAGATCTTCAGCAAGAATTACTTGTAAAAGAAAAGGAACGAGCACCAGACAACGAACGATTCTTAAATGGATTCATTGATAATAGACTCAAAGAGAATGAGACCCAAACATCACCATCAAAACGTAAGCTAAATCGTTTTAATAAAGCTTACAAAAGCTTTTCTGCATTTTGTCGCAGAAATACTTCTGCTTGAATTATTAGCATGTTTATGTATGTTTGTGATGTGTTTAAACATGTGATTCATCTTGCTAGTAGATGTTGCTGCCTTATTTAATTTTATTTCTGTTGGAATTAAATAAGGGTCAACATTTCTAACATACCTAATGCATCCAAAGCCTGAAATTTGCAAAGTGCTCTTACATAATAATAAAATATGTATAGTATTTTTAATACCTATTTAGAGGTACCAGCCGTTTTAGTAACTTAACTTATGCGGCTTCTTGCACCATCTGAACCCCCATGAAAAAAATTAGGTTATGATGTTTGTCGTGTCAAATGTGGATTCTGGAACTTTTAGTGCTTCGGACGCTTTTTGAATTGCCTTAAATCGAGATTCTAAAATAGTTACTACCTCGTTTTCAAAATAGTTTACTACATTAAGCATAAGTTTTTTGGGTTCATCAGAATATCGCATTTTTATATCTTGTTTTGCGTTATGACATTAACATGAAATCAAAATTTGACGTAACTTCAAAAACGTGACATCTAACAAATTATTAGTTATTGACGTTCATTTTTGTTGGTAATTTTTTGTTTCAACTGATTTATTAATAATAAATAAGGATGGTGTTATTCTAAATGGGTATTAAAAATACTATAGTTACTGCCGTCCAGTATCTAAAAATAAGACATTTGAGCCTTAATGTAGTTAAGTTTTGACAATAGTTCCTTATAGAAGCAATAAAATAAAACTAAAGTGCAATAAAACAAAAAGTGGATTTAATATTTTATGATGGAATTAAAAATTTAGTATACATATACTTGAATCTATGATGTTACATTAAAGATATTGTTTTTACTATTGTAAATAGGAAACATTTATTTTCTAAGAAAATAATAAAAATTTAATTTTGAAATTCTAAACTTTTTGATAGGAATATTCGAATGTAGGTTATTTTTCTATTATAATTTTCTCAGTAATTAGATTTATAACATCTTTTTCTAGTTAGTAAAAGTTCCTTAACATATCATTTTTAAGTTTTTAGTTTTTCTAGTGTAAGTAACAAGACTCAATTAAGTTGTTGTAGGACTTTTGTTGACTAACCACTATCTTACCTATTATAATAATTTTTGGGTGTGTGGTATAGTTATATCAATAATTATATAAAATCGTTAAGTAATATTTATTTAGTTTGAATTTGTGAATGGTTTGTATCAAAGTAACTAACATTCAAGCCGCCATATTATTAGGGCAAAGACATACATTTGGTTCATGAAAAATAAAGAGTATGACCTAATATTATTCCATTCTGTTAATGTAATTACTAAAAAATTGTTGATCTAACTCAATTTTATAATGAAAGCAAATAAAGAGTTTATTTGAATTAATAATTGTTTTATTTTTAGTGTTGAGTCTTGTACACTTGCATGACCTGACCTAGTTAACAGAGTCCTTGCATGTTTCCCCCTGATATTTCCTTTTGTTGTGCATTAATATAAAGGCAAATAAAAGAGAAAAAGACATTAAACTAAAGACAATAATAAAAATCGAACTGAATACTTATTTGCATGTTGAAATGAAATGTTTATGATAGAAAAGAAAAATTAATTTTTTTCTAGGAGAGTACCAGCCACCTCTTTCGCCGGCTTCAAGAGTAATGGCTATAAATATCGTCAGTGATTTAATTAGAAAAGTAGGGGTAAGTAAACTTTAATAGCCGTTATTGCTTGGTTAACAGAGTGTGAACATTTTTAAGGCTTATTTTTCTTTTTGGTTGGTATACAGTCAAATTATATGTCTTAATTATGGAGAAATGGATTTATAGTTTAATCTAAAAAGTGAATGTTTCTTTCAAATTTATTGTAATACAATATTATACGTTTATCAATGATGGATTTTATCAGTGATAAGTCAAAAGTTGCCACTGACTGACTCATTATTTAATATAAAAAATAAAAGTTTCATTATCTACATATATAAAATGCTAATGTTTATCTGTATCGTCTCTACTGAAGTAACGACTTGCTCTAGAAAGTTGTTTTTTTTTACTAAAAGATAGCTAATTGGCTCTTCTAAAAACTGTCGTCGCCGAATTTTTTGTTTTTCATTTAATTAAAAAAAAGTATTTTTTTCGTGAGGTCGTGGCGGATGCGCCAGGCTTCAACTAGTTTAATATAAAAAGCTTGCTATTTAAAGGACTTATTTCCGAATTTTTTGTGAATCAACATTTCTTAATTCAGATAATTTACCCTGTTTTCTGAGGGGATAGTTTATCTATCATACCTATAAGTCTTTAGCATGAAATATATGTCAGTATGGGGTGTTGTAAAATTGAAGGTGATTGTTGCGATTTTAGAAATTTAAAAAAGATTTAGAAAATAATGCTAAATTGCGTCAAAAGTTTAGGTGCTCAGACAAGTGCCGTTCCAAAAATGTATCACTGACGACTTTTGACATAGGAAAAAAAGGTGAAATCTTGATAATCCTTTATTATTTTTTCTGTTCCAAAAGCTCTCAATACTTTATTTGCTACCTATGTTATACCATCCTGGACAGTTCATATACGTGGTCTGTTTTAGTTTTAGTGCATGCGACAGATATAAATATAAATGACCGATTGACAAACAGAGAGACAAAATTAAAACCGACATACGATGCTGTTGCCGATTTTTACGTGTGTAGGTAAATGTAGTTGAAAAAAAATATATTTTAAAAACTTTCATGTATAGTACTAAAATGAAGATAATGTAAATATGTTTAAGCTAAATATAATCTATTACACCTGTAATAAAATGAGTAACTAATAGTGAAAAATAAAGTTCCAACCCTAGATGAAACCCAGGTTTCAAACACTAGGTATGAAATTTTGATGCAAAATCCGGCAATACCGGCAATAATATAAATGTATCAACCGAACTTTTATCTCTTGTCAATACATTAGATTTGTCATTAAGCTGTCTAGATCATTATCTTACACAAGTCTTTTTTTAATTGTCTTACACGTTAAAATTCAGACGTTAAAATCCAATTTCGATGACCAGATCAGTATATGAATCAGTGATGGTGAGGTAAATCTACCTATTTCAAAATTACTATCGATATACCGATTTTGTACGCTATCTACCAATTTTTTTTTTAATATTAAAGTAAACAAGTTGATATCGATTGATACACCCTGTACACTGAATTTGTTAGGTAATTGCCTTCAGGGATGTTCGTGGGTGCACAACAGATAGACCCAGAGATATAAGTGTATATCTCTAGTGCAGATTCCTGCATCATATGATACATAGCTTACACTGAATACAGGGTGTCCCAGGCTGAGCGTGCATTAGAAGTTTCTGGAGAACTGCAACATCTGGCTCGGAGATTTTTTGCACATCATAGTTTGACAACGGGATCTATCGATTAAAAATATTTTCAATGCACAGCAACTTTCTTATGTTAAATGGGTGCCCCCATTTTTTATTACATACTTAAATTCTCTGTAAAATTTTATGAATTTTGATATTAAACACTCTATATCTAACATTGACCGTTTTTGAGAAAAAAAATATTTAAAATTTTTGAACGAAAAAACTGCCTGTCAAAAATATGTGTATAGTCTAAACGTCAAATTTAGTGATTACCACAGCCACTGTGCCATAAAGAGAAAACATGTGGCTATCTATTTCAAAAATTAAATTGTTCGAATGTCATATAATAATGGCCGCAGCTGTCAGAATTGAGCGATTTAAAAATTATCATAGGTCATTTTTTTCAAATGGGAACCCACTCTTTTTATTTCACTAATGAAAAGGCTTTTTCAATTCGTTACTTTTTGACTATACATGTTCCTATACCTAAAATAAATCGTTTTTAAGTTATTTAAGATCTAGTTTTTTAAAGTGTATATTTTCCTTGATTTTAACCAGTAGCCTATGACTTTAAGCGTCAAGTGATGTAAAACAATACATCTGGCCATTTCATATTGTGACGCTTTGTTCAAAAAGCAGCATCATTTCCGAGCCAACTTTGCGCTGTTTTTTTTTCGATCATACGGAATATTATTAATAGTATCAACTATTAGATATCACTAAAGACAAAGCTAAAGAGCGAAAATACGAGATATATTTTTATAAATACACTTTTTAAACTCTTAAGCAGGCAGTATGTATAATATAGGAAATTCAAATAATTCGTTTTCTGACTGTAAATTTCTATAATTTTTTTCATCCAAAAATTTTAAATATTTTTTTTCTCAAAAACGGTTAATGGTAGGTATAGAGTGTTTAACATCAGTATTCATAGAATTTTACAGAGAATTTAAGTATGTAATAAAAAAATGGGGGCACCCATTTAAAATAAAAAGGTTGCTGTCAACTTCCGGTATTTCCGGAAGTGCCGCCATATTGAAAATATTTTTAATCGATAGATGTCGTCGTAAAACAATGATGTGCAAAAAATCTCAGATTTAGATATTGTGGTTCCCTAGAAACTTCTAATGCACACTCAGCGTGGGACATCCTGTATATTTATACGAACTTTTTTACTTATTTTTATCTGTTGAATATGCTGCCAAAGTTTCCGGAATACAGTTCGGACCACACTGTATAAAATTTTAAAATACATGAAAATTTTAAGGTCTCGTTATTCGTGCCTGTGAGTGTAGTATCTTTTCATATCGACAATATCCATAATCAAATTTACAACATACATTAGTATACAGGGTTACTTACCTTAAAATTTTCACGTATTTTAAAGTTTTATATATTGTATTCCAGTGGACCGCTTTTGATGATTTTTTAAGCAATTTGTAACTAAATTATTTGACTTTTTAGTAGCTCTTTCTAAATAAAAAATAAAAGTTTTCATCTGTCAATTATACGACTGAAAACAAAATGTTAATATTTTGGTGAAAGTTTGAAACACCCCATGGAATATACAAAGCGAGGAATTTAAAAATAATTTTATCATCTTGGTACGTCTTTTCCCGATAGTCTGTTTTTTTACACATCTCGATAGTTTTTTTTTGTTGGGTTGAAGATATTCGCATTTGAATAAAGATCCCATTAAGCCGGGTCCACATATGTAGCACTCTATTGTATCAGGATCATGTATCACGTATCAAGAGCTTGTATCGTAAGTATGGACGTTTATTTGGGCTGTGTCGACTGAATATGCATTTCGTGCCAAAGTAAGCGTCCATACTTATAAAATTCATACGTATCAGCGTACAAGCGTGCGTATCAGTGTATGTGGACGGCACACCAAATCACCTTGTATCGTCGTATCATGTTCATTAATTCTCATTTATATTATCAGGATGGAACCCTCGATGCCCCTTTGATGATCGGAGAAAAACCGCCTCAAGACGGGTCAAGGCGTATCAAGTCAATTGTATCGTTATACTGTATTAAAACACGCCCAAATGACAGATCGTGATACGTGTATCCGATACGCAGTGTTAAGATACGCGCCAAAATTCGGATTGGCATGTATCAGATACAGTATCACAAAGGTGTACCATATGATCGCGTTAATTCGGCGTCCAAACTAACGATCATGATACATGTTCGTGCAACGCGACGGAGATATGATACACCAAGATGCTACATATGTGGACCCGGCCTTACACGGCGCGTGGAGCGCCGATCCATGCTTCAGGCGCGTGGAGGGCCGCGCCAAGACGCGCCAAGGCGCGCCGCACAATGCGGCGGATGGTAATTCTAGCGGGGCAAAACCTCAAGAGCGATGTTTGGGACTTAAAATCTAAGAACGTAGCAAATAGCAAATGATTAATATATGTGTAGCATCCATATGGGTTAAATTTATTTATTTATTAACAACTTAATTTATTAATAAATAAATAAACACAAGATAATACAACTATTATATTATTCGTACGTGACACACAAAAACCGTACTGTAAACTATTGCTAAATAAATAAAATTATGATATCAGGTAAATACTTAAAAAATCTTTATTTTAGCCGTTATTTTTTAATTATTTTGCGATCTTGTAACACCCTGTATATTTTATTTTAAAAAAATCTATTTTATTTAAAAATAAATAAAATAGTTATTTTAATTTTAATTTTAACACTCTGTAATTATAAATTCATATATAGTAAGTATCTAAGACAATTTTTAAAACTTTTATTAAAACTAGTAATAATCATTTAGTTCTTATTAAAAATTATGAGAAATTAAAAAAGGCTTTTGCATATAGTCATGCTTTATTTAACTACAACATCATTTGGATGTTTTTGTCTTGAGAAAAATTGCCGAACGGACTATTGGTGTCATTCATTGATTTTTTAAACTCAGTGTCTTTCGATGGAGTTTCAATTAGGTTTCAACGATTACAGCAGCATCCCTACTCCCACTAGCCCTAAAGCTCATAATACTTGCAAAGCGTAATTCTTATTTTCAATGTCCTTCAATTAACCCTTTAATGATTCTTTGTTTCGTTATTATACTAGCCAATTGAAATAAAACTTTTGGGCGTCCACCTTTTAAGCTTGAACTCTAAAAAAACAAGGGAAAATGATCGCAGATGGGTCTTAACACATTTCTTTTCTTCGTTGTTGGGATCTAAAAATTGCATCTCGATATCCCACAAAACGGTCAAGAGATGATGTTGGTTCTAAAACGCCTTTTTTTCCTTGAGGGCTTCAAAAAATTCTTGGCAGCTGAACCGGTGCGAGACTCCTAAAA